AATATATGAGTTTGTATGTAATGTATGAATATAATATACAAGTTTCACTTTTTAAATGGAATTACTGAAATAAATCTACTTTTTCATGATATTCTAATTTTATGACCAGCACCTGTATGATGATGATTTTACAAAAGTTTATAAAAAATATGTTTCTAACATGGATATAAATGCATAAACTGCTAATTTGGTTTCCTGCTGTTATGTTTAAATGCGCCTCAGAGACTTGTAAATAAATGCACTGCAAATAACTACATAATAAATGCTATAAAAAATTAGAAAAATATAATACTCTTGCCTTTTTTGTTTAAATATCCAATTTAAGTTGACTCCTTCAGGTACATCTAATCCCCAATAATTTAGTGAAGATTAAATAATTTAAAGTGTATTTGAAAGCATCAATGAAAAACCCATTAACTTGTATATCCTTATTTGTCCAGAAAAAATCCCACAGCGACACAGATCACGTGAACACATCCCACGTGAGGCTTGGCCACGCCCACATGCTTCGCCACAGCAAAAATTGTTTGATTTCCATAGGACTGTGCTGAGTGATTTTGAAGTCTGTAACTTAAAAGATGAAGGAGGAGTTCGATCAGATACCTGTACAGGAAACGAGACAATATGGCAGCTTGGATCCAAGATGGCCGACTTCCTGTGRCATTTGGACCATGGCTCCAAGAGACTTTTTTGTAAGTGCTGATACATTACATATGTGTGCTGAATTTCATAACTGTCAGTGAAAGGATGGCTTGGAGCTGATTTTTTTGAAATATTGTAGGGGGCGCTATGGAGTAATTAGGCCACGCCCACCAAATGTTACGCATTCCTGTTGAAGACCAGATAAGGATCGATGACGGGTGATTTGGTACAGATCGGCTGAAATATGTGGTTAAAGATGGCCGACATGTAAGTTTGTATCTTGAGTCATCTCAGTTTCACTAGCAGTGGTCACTGATGACACACAAAATTTGGTGCAAATTCGATGATGTCTCAGTGAGCTATAAATTTTCATCAATTCTAGGTGGCGCTGTTGRGTCAAACTCCAATGTAATCCTRTAGGCCTCTTCAGAGGTTAACAAAGATCATATACAGTATTTGCARTTTGGAGCATATCGGATCATGTATGTATAATTTAGAGCCAAGTATGCAAACAGCGAAACATCATCATTCGCCACTTGGTCACGCCCACTCTATCCAGCCAACAATCAGTGTTGAGATAAGCATGCAGCATCAACTAGTTGCGTCACCAGACATAGGTAGAAATCTGTAATAGTCACAGGGTAAAAGATGAATATCCAGCAGGTAAATAATTAAATTCCTGTTTTGAGGGGGCGGGGCTAAGGTGATGTCACCAAATGACCACGTGGGTGGGATGAGTACCAGTCTGGTATGACACAGRTATGATCATGCAGCTGTGACCTGCTAAGTAAACAATCAGGAGTGGCAGATGGAGTAGTTGACACAGAGGACACCATGAAAACCTTGTAAGTGCTTAAAACGGGTTTATAACAGTTTGTTTTTCTTTTATAACAAAAGTAAAATAAGTGACGTATTAACTTGACCAGTTAGACGTGTTTATGTTTATTATTTGAGATTTCTTACATAGATAAATGCTGCTAACATCATATATGGTCTGAAGCAACTAAAATAACTTTATGTCGCATTAAAAAAACTGTAAAAAATTAATTAAGAAACTCGTTTGCTTTCAGCTTGATCTCTACAGTGTTACTGTTTCTTGTTAAAACCACTATCAAGGTTTTGATTTGTTTTCTTTAAACTACCGGGTGTATCTGATTTGAAATTCTTCTCATAATTATGTTGTTTTCCTGCAGAGTGCTCGTCGCCCCTTTGTTATTCAGCTCTTTGGTCTGGAGTGGATATCTTGAATATGACCAAGATGTCTTGTAAGCAACTATTTAAAGTCATTTTTACTTTTTTTTCCCTTTTATTTCCCCGCATGTAAAATACACCAAGAATAGTTAGACTTTAGGGAACAACCCTAAAGTCAGAAATTCCTGGCCTTCGTATCCATCCAGGGTCATTAAAGTCACAGTCTGGTCATTTTTGTGTCATGAGCAATAGGAAGGTTTTATCCAAGCTGGGCTAACAGATATATTTACACACATACATACATTTGTATGTGTGTATCTGTAACACACACATTTATTTGTGTAATAATGCATTATAAGGTAGAGAATAACAATCTAAACAAAATGTGTAATGGATATGTATAAATGTTTATTAGCTAATGTAATGTTATTTCACACTAGTATGACATTCTCGAGAAATAGTTTTTATAAGACAGAAAAACAAATGATAAGCAGACCTGTATTTGCTAGCTATTAGCCTAGCCTGGATGAAGACTTTGGCCCTTTTTTCATACTTTGATGTCATGACTGATAATGTTCTGTCTGAGAGAGCATCACCTCATTTCCTAAATGAGCCGACTATCCCTGTAATGTTGCTGCTTTGGGAGGTTTAATTTATAGTTTTCTTTTAATGATCTCATTGAAGCACAATGTAATGACATATTTTTTGTGTTATAAGATGTGTATTTACTTTCCCCTGCAGGATACCGGAGGACTGGAGCCATCTTGGTCGAGTTGACTCCTCAGAGGAGCTGAAGCTGACGTTTGCCTTAAAGCAGCAGAACCTTCACCTGCTGGAGGAAACACTGCGGCAGGTGTCAGACCCGGACTCGCCTCAGTATGGTAGGGTTTTGGCTGTTAGGCAACACTGTAAACTCAGGATGAAAACACAAAAAAAATCTGCTGTATAAGTGAGTTTCTCCTCCACAGGTAAATATCTCAGTTTGAAGGAAGTAGCTTCTCTCGTTCGTCCCTCTGAACTCAGCCAGAAAGCAGTGCACAGCTGGCTGCAGAGTCATGGGATTTCACACTGTCTCACTGTTCACACTGAGGACTTTCTACAGTGCACCATGACTGCAGAGTAAGCACTTTTTTTTAGTATCACTTGTCCTCCTTTGCTCACTTGCTGTGGTTACTTTTTCTCCTCAGGTTTCATAGATGTGAAAAGGCTGTGCTTGAATCTCATGATTTAGTTCCTSTTTTTGAGGTTGCACATAAAAAAGCAACTGCCGCGGTCTACTTCTTTGCAAAAATCTGCAGTAAACTTGTGAAATTACTAAAAATGGAGCTGTAATAAACTGTGTGCGTCTGACGCARTGATTGCAGATTGATTATCAGCCGAGTCTTCCTCGTTCAGAAGGAAAGTCAACTCCAATGATGCCGTTCAGAACATTTATTGAGGAAGGTGTAGTAGCAGGTACAAAAGAGATGATGTGGTGGGAGGAAATTTCAACKTTCGTTTGCTTCTCTTGCGGGCTCTGAGCATCGGATCCGGGAAAGTGAGATGACTTTGGAAAGCTACGGTCCTCCTCTACAAACTGGAGGTGGTTGCAAGTCCCTGGGATGTTCCCCCGCGGAGCTATTAACCAACGAGCGGCCGAAAAAGGTGCTTTGGCGGGCGATATAGTACTCAATTTACTGCGGAGCCTCTAGCGCCAGCTTTGACCGTCGGATCCAGGCAAGAGATGGCTCTTTTTAAACCTCTGGATATCCMCTACAACCTGGGGGTGGTTGCAAGTTCCTGGGATGTTTCCCCGCGGAGATATAAGCGATCAAAAGTTGTCGGGCGAGCTCCGGCGGGTGAAACGGCTGAATTACAGCACGGGGCTGCTTGTGCTGATGCAGGGGTATAAAAGGAAGAGATCCAGTGAGGTGGAACCYTGGTCCTACGTCCAGCACCRGCTCTCCCGCCTGGATTTAGCCAGAAACCCCCTGGCGGGCTATATTTCTGCAAAAATGCATAAAATTCAGAAACCCACCTGATGGATCTGTTCCAGGGGMAAAAAAGGAACAGATTTGGTCAGGTGAAATTGGTCCTGGAAGCTCAGCACCGGGTTTTTTAGCCACCTGCCTGCTAAACAGCCCCCGGGCGATATTTCTGCAATAATGCATAAAATTCAAAAACCCACCTGATAAAAATATTACAGGGGATAAAATGAACAGATTTGGTCAGGTGAAACCGGTCCTGGAAGCTCAGCACCGGTTTTAATGACAATCTGCCTGCTGGAGTAAGTAAGTAAGTAAGTAAGTAAACTTTATTTCTATAGCGCTTTTCACAGACCAGGGTCACAAAGTGCTGCAC